CTCTTCTGCATTTTTTGTCATTTTTACAGGTATCTCTAGAAGCTTCTTTTATCCTAGGTTTGGGTCAGTTTCTGGGGCTATCTCGGGGTACCCTACCCTAGTCTAAGATCATGATTACCACATCGAATTAATTCCTAACCTAAGATGTCTCAGAAAGCCCTAGAACCTTGTCTCTTTTGATTGCTTTTACGTAAGGAGCTGTTCATAAATGATGTCTATCGAAAAGCAAAATTTAAAGACCCACTCCCCCTTCTCGTTGTCACAAAACTTGTCCAATAATTTAAAATCTGTTTTCTATGGTCCAAGAAGCACACAAACGTGGCTTAGCTCAAAACTCCTGTTTTTCCACCACTTTAGAGCTTTATCTGGAAGTCGTTGACAAGTCAATTCTAACTCTATGCTATGTTTTGCGTTGGTTTGATGCTAAATGTATCTTATGTTTATTTATGAAAGATGATAGATTCAGTTATTCAGGAGATCCTTGCTTCTAGCTCTAACGAGTGCTTAGTCACTCCTTGGTGTTTTTTGAGTTAAATTCTGAAGGTTTTGACATCAAGACTAACTGATCTAACCTATCAACAATGTCAGATAACAGACATTTTCAATAAAATCTCAAAACACAGACTCTTGACTGTACAAGAACTTCTTTGAACAGTTTTTCAATACCTTTTTCCCCGACTAATTGCCATTCAACGACATCATTCATCATTCGAAACAGAAGTCATTCTTAACACACATTCATCATCTCAATTAATTTCTCAACATCAAAAAAAAAACATGAAAGAATGAAAATTAAAATGAATTAAAAAAGCGAACTCAAAAGTCATAAGCGAGAAGTATAAACAGAAGAAGAAATGAAAAGAATGCATTTTGTGGATTGCGCAATTGAAAATTATTTCATTTCTCTCGACACATAGAAGTCGAGTGCTCTTTGCTGTCTGCAATAACAACAACAGCAGATGAACAGAAGAAAATGAAATAAAAAGAGCGACAGCAGTGAAGCGAAAATGCTTTTACAAGTAATTCTGCAAATTCATTCACATTTCGCTTCTCTTTTTTGCTCAATTATACAATCTTTTTTTTTTCATTATATGCACATCTTGCTGTAGCTTTGTTATTTGTGCATCTCTCTCATTCATTCGGTTTTCTAGTGAGTAATTTTTGAAAAGCAATTTGTGAGTAGTTTGGTAGTAGATTTAGTAAAGATAGGGGTTCTGGTGTGGTCGAAACTTGAGGAGATTTTAATTCAATTTGGGGGTTAAGGTTAAATGATGTAAAGCAAGAGGGTTCAACTGTGGTTTTGGTCTCAAGTTCATGGGAACATAGCTTGAATGGGACTTGAACCTTTAAGAACATTAATCAAATGGCTAAAATGTACTGCAATGAAAGTGCTGATCCTTCCTCCCTTAATCGTGGATATGCTTCTCGGTCGATTTTGAACTATATCTAAGTATTTCTTTCATTGTGAGATTAAGAAATCTATGCAGATTCCATTCAGAATCAGAGAATTTGAAGGTTCGATTCCTTGTAGAATCAGAGAATTGAAGGTTCGATTCCTTTCAGAATCAGAGAATTGAAGGATTGATTCCTTTCAGAATCAGAGAATTTGAAGGTTTGATTCCTTTCAGAATCAGAGAATTGAAAGTTCAATTCCTTTCAGAATTAGAAAATTTGAAGGTTTGATTCCTTTCAGAATCAGAGAATTAAAGGTTCGATTCCTTTCAGAAGTAGATAAAGATTCAATGATCTAACAGGAACAAGAAGTTTGCTGGTTTCAAACAATTACCATGATTGATCATTTCCCCAACGCTTCTCATCTAAACACTATAACCTCTTCAAAGTCTTCATCGACACCTAAGAACCCCCAATTCCCAACAAACACTTTCAAAATAAAATTTAATTATAGACATGCAAGTAAACTGCAAACGAATGTCATGTTATTTACAATTTGAAGTGACTTTTATGTCTTTAATTATATTTCGTGTGTGCTGTTGTGCCCATTAATTGCTGTTGCTTAATTTCTATTGTCTTTCACTCTTTAATTTCAATTTTAATTCTTTATGGCAATTGCGGTTTTCAAACTTCCTGTTGTGAATGCATTAATTCCGTAATTATGTACTTTTCTCTATCCAAAAAAATATTAATTATATGCTTAATCAGCACCAAGAGTTCGCTTTCTGTGTTAATTTTCATTCTTAATCGACTCGAGAGCTCCTCGAGTGCCGGAAAGAGACTGTAGCAAGTTAGCAGCACCAAAGGAAATAAAAATTGGAATGAACAACGAGTAAATGTGGCACGTTGAAAAATAAAAGATTATGAAAGTGCTGCACAGACTATTCAGTTTAAAATAGCTTGGTACGGTTGAGATGATAAGAAGTGGAAACAGCGGTTTGTGTATTGATGATGATTTTCTTACTTTTCTGTGTGGTTTTTAATTAAATAGGACAACTGTTTTGGTGCTCAAGTTCCTTTCCACAGCACTTGAAATAAGGAAGAATATTCTTTGAGATAATTGAAAAATTTTGTGTTTGGGGTTCATTCATTTATGATGTCCATAGGTTAGGAGAACAGTTTCTTGATACCAAAAAGTAGATGGAAATTTTCCACTCGTACATGCTCCTATACCAGGCTCCAAAAATCACATAGAATCCAGAATTGTAAGTAGTTTGAAACATAAATCTAGTGTGGAGCCCAAAAATTTTAATCGGGGGATAAAATGAGCCAAGCTTTGCATCTTATCTGGATTTTAGTGACACTCTTATTATTTAAGGATCTGGTGAAGCATGATGACAATAAAAGCTGAAATTCTAAACTATTCCATCTTGACAATCCTAATTTGTGAACCAACCCCCCCCCCCCCCCCCCCCTCCCCCTCCTCCTCATTCCTCTCATTCAAGAGAAATTTTCTAATTGACATTTTCTTCCCCTTTTTTTAATAATTTTAATTTTCAGAGTCTGCAACTTGTTAAATTGTTTTTTCATCCTTTTTGTTGTGCACATTTCCTTTATCATGAATAGACATTTGTGTTAGGGATTTAAAGTGAGATACTTTTCGTGTTTTTTTGCTTTTGTGTGTTGTCAAAGTTTCATAAAAGATATTCAAGATGTAATGTAAGTGATGTTGGTCCAACGTTAGCAGTGATTTTTTTGTGCAAATGGATGTTATTTTAATGCTGTCTACTTGTTCAACTGAAATTTATTTTTGGTGAATTTTAAAAAAAGTTTTGCTTGAAATCTAGCCGAATCGAATAGTTTTTAAAATACATGTGTCTTTATAGCGACCCTAAAGTCTGCTATAAATTCAATGAGGACACAAAAGATTGTGAAATATTCAACAGTATTATGTTGCAGACTTCGCACTGGTTTCTAAGGTTTCTACTGATATTGAATGCTACAATGCAGACTCTGATCATTGAAATCCATCAATCGGGTAGGGTTTGATTAGGTTAAATCCCACGTGTCCAACTTAATTCGTTTTCTGGAAGAATTAGAACAAAATAACTATTTTATTATATTTGAAAAAAATAGAGGACTGTCCTCTGAAAAACAAAGCAGATGTTCAGCATAGGTTTAAACCAGTTGATTGATTTGAAACAACTTAAGCCTGGAGAGAGATTTGATCCTAAAAGGCTAGCAATGCCAAGTATTTTAAAAAATGCGTCATAACCTCAATCCTCATCGTCCACCTAAAATCCCAAACTCATCCTTATCTACAATCAATAAACCCTTTTTTTCTCAACTTTCCCCTCAATATCCTTTAACCTTAATCTCTATTTATACATAATTTAAAGACAAAAGCGCCATTATATTAATTCTATGCCTTTTTTTATTATGGACATATTCTGAAATCATGAAAAAATAAAATAAATAAATAGCACAGCAAGGAAGAAGCTTCAATGCACATATCAGAGATCGAGTCGTTTATTTTAAATGGAAATGTTCGTCATTGTTTGCTTATTGCTGTTATTTCTTCTCAATTTTATTTCTTCCTTGATGTTGTTTTAAGAGGAATATTGTTTTTTTTTTTGTCAAAAGGAATTGGGTGCTGGAGATATTCAATAATAGGGTCCTTGGTAGGAACTGAGAACTGAAAGGAAGTTCATCAAAGGGGTTGTGGATTTTTTTATGACCCAGAGAATATCGATGCAATGTATCTAGTCACAATTTATGTATCGCGAATGATTCTTATGACCTCAGCAGCTTAAAAGAACCCAAATTCGAGTGAATATTACTTGAGAACGAGCCTGAGATGTTAGGGTCGGTTGAATGACACTCTAGTAACTACTTTGCTGTTTGTTCGCTTGCTAAGCCCATTACTGCATCGTATGTGCTCCAAGAGGCTGTTAAAAAGCAAAGAAAGTCTATTTTTGATGGTTTACACAACAATGTCCACAAAAATGCGTCAATAACATGCAATAACCACAAAAATTCAACCAGCCTCAGCTCAAACTTCTCACCAATCTTTATGCCTTATTTTATTTTCTGTTAAACGAATGAAAAAATTGCAATTTTTTAAATAACATTAAAAAAATACAGAAAAAATAATCAAGCATAAAAGAATTTCACAATAATATTGTTTGAAAATGAAAATAAAGAAAAATAAAAATTCAGTAGCTTCAAGGCATATTCTCCTCGTTCTCTACATTTTTATTATTTTTGTTTGGCTTTCAACAACATCATGTATAGCTGGAAATTGCGGACGTAATATTTAAAATATTTTTTGTTTTTGTCGATTGTTGAATTTTGATAGGAATTAAAGGCAATTGCGAGTTTTTTCGTGCTGATATTAAAGGTTTTTTAATGTAAGGGGAATTCCATAAATGATGTTCATCAAGAATTAGGATTTTTAAACACACTTTCATCCTCTTTAACCTTATCTAATTTTAATTATCACACATCGTCAGAACCCCTTCATTCCTAAATGTTGAACATCATTTATGAACGACCCCTTTAGTCCAGTAAATGATAGTTTCGCTCATGGCAATATGACATTTTATGCATCAAGATGTTGGCAAGGTTTTTAGTGGTAATAAAGCTAAAGGCTTGAATTCTGTGTGGCATTTAATTGGCCTTTGATAAGCTATTACGTGCTGCAATTGTTCCTGACTTGATTAATGTTTTAACAATAAATAGAATTAAAATCTTTATTGAATCATTTTCTTAAATACAATAAAATCATTTTTGTTGCTGTTATGGCACCAAATTCTTGAATATTGTACTTTAATGTTAAATGAGTTTTTAAGAGACAAGATAGATTTGTTGATGATGATTCCATCCACAATGGCTTCTGCATTTTCTTCGATTTTAAATTGAGCGTATCTGCGAATTGTTTAAGAGATCTGTTAAGTTTGGTCAACTTAGCAACATTTGGGTTATTTAAGGAGCTCAGGTGGGCAAGGATGTGGAACTAATTAAAATGGTACAAAAATAATCAAAGTTGGTCAAAAGTGATAGATCAGTTCCAAAAATTTTCACTAGACCTTCTCAAAGGTTTTAATAGGAAGTTTGAAGTTTGAGTTATCTAGATCCAGATCTGAAATATAACAACGAGGTTCGATGGGGTCTAAACATCCCTATGAAAATTAAAAGTTTGATATTTCTTCGTTCTATTTCCTGATTCTGATCCATATCCCAAGAAACAGGACTGATCATAATTAAGCATCAACCCACATTTTCCAGATCATATCCAACTTACCTCTTCTGATTTTCATCAGCAATTAACTCATTCTGACTATCAATCACTCCAGCAAAAACATTCATTGTCCTAATGCCTGTCAACTGTCTGCTCTGCAAAAAATTCTTCAAACCCAACATAAATCCAGACATTGCCCATTTAGTGATGGAATAACTTGTCAGATCAGAATTCTCTAGCATTGAGGATATTGACACGATCTGTCCGCGACCTCTGTTTATCATCTCTTCGAGGAAGCATTTTGTCATCTGTGGATTTAATTCCTTTTATTAAGTATTTTGAAGGAATCAACAATCAACTTACAAAAATAACATCCACAATTCCATTTTTTGTCAATCCATCAACTTCCTCTTTAGACTGCTGTAATATCGGCTTACTCGAAATACAGCAAAAATTGTTAATCAATATATCCACAGCTCTAAAATCATTAATCACTTTCTCTTTCAATTGCAGGACTTCCTGTTCATTTGAGGCATCAACTTGATAACTTCTAACTTTCACATGATAAGGCTTTAACTTCCTTAATGTCTCATCAGTTAATAAACTATCAACAACTATAATATGACAGCCCTTTTGTGCTAATTTGATGCATATCTGTTGTCCAAGTCCACGTGCAGCACCGGTAACCAACACAACCTTTCCATGTAATTTTTGCTTTATCGGTTGTAGTGCAATGTGAATTACAAAGAGAATTGGTATCACTACAGAACTACAAAATATTAATAGGAACAACATTTTGGGCGTCTTTAAGACGATAGTAAACACAGAAAACTGAGGAATTTGATGGGAATAGCTTTCTAATGTTGTGTCATACACCTGATGCAGTTTTGAATAAATTATTTAAATGTCTATACACTCAGTGGATGTTTTTGGATATTGATGAAGATGAGATCTTTGGATTAATGATGCTTGATATTTCATTTCTGTTGGTGTAGAGAAAATAAATTGAAATTTCTATTGGAACAGGTTTTCTGGATATTTTAATTGTTGCTGATGGTATAAAGCAGTTGTGTACAACCTTTTTTGTGGCATGGCACAGCTTGGTGGCAAGTCATGCCACGGAATATGGTTCGTAGGATTTTTAAAATTTTTTCTAGTGTGCCGCGGCACATGGGTTGGACATCACTGGTATTAAGTGAGTTTTTTGGTTGAGTGATTTGAAATTAAATTAAAGGTTATCTGATTATTATAGAAGAATTCATGGAAAGATTCTGTTGCTATGAAGACAGTGTTGCTTTTGGAATCGGCAATTGGTAGATGGTAGTTAGCGATAGAGCTAGTTTTAGGGGACGAATAAGGGAGGTCATGGATCACAATTGATCTGTACAACCAGCGAAGTAAGTAAGTAAGCGATTTTTATAGATAAAATTAATACAAAAGGGGTTTGAGGTCGGTATAAATTTCTAGCAACTTGCCTTCTGCTTACTACAGCTGCTGTCGAAACAAATATAACTTATACATCATGTTAGCTACCTTCAATTACACAAAACTAAGCGATCCATAAAAATCAAATCAATTCCCCTGAAACTTTATCCAATTCCACGAATCAATTCCCTTTACTTACCTTTAACAGCACTAAAGTTATCTTAAAATTGAATTCCCAGCAATCGATTTAAACAAATTTCACAGAACAATTTTTAAACATTTCAAAATGAACCAGCATACTTTTCCCCCTAAGCTAGCAATTCTGCATTTACTGCAAACTGACAAAAACTTTGACATGAAAATAAAAAAAATTGCACTCGAAAACATTCAATTTTCTTAGCTAAATAAGTGAAATGAATTCAATTTAAACTTCAGCATAAAAGCAGCAATAAAATGGAGAGATTTGAGATTGGAAATTGGAAGAAAGAATGGAGCCGAGAAATAACAATTTATCGCAATAGTATTACCATATAATAATTCACTTCCATTTCATTTTTACTGCATATTCTCATTGCTTTTATTTTATTTCGTTACTGTATTTATCAACAGCAATTGCAAATGCCATATCCAACTAACAATTTTCCAAATTGAGTGAGACACAACAGCATAAAAAACTAGTATTGACGTGTGAGTATGTCATAGCTAATTGAAGCGCATCTTTTGAGATTTTTATACTTAGGGCAGGTGTTTTGTCATATTTTTGGATGCTCCTCATGATGTTCCTAACCATTCAATAGGTAACTTTAGACCAGAAAAACCTTTGAACCCCTGTAGCCAGTGGTAAAGCCAAAAATCCCATCCTTAGCCTCTGCCTGGAGCTCAATATTGGCTTTTTAGAGTCCCGAATAGCACAAGTCCGTTAATCGAATAGAAATCCGGCACCAAGTCCGTGTGATTCTAGCATGGTGCTGGACTGAAATCAAATCAAGCACCATTCTAAGGTAACGTCAGCTTGGTACCGGATTTCTATTTCACTAACCGAATCTGCTATTGAGGAGTCTGATGCATACAGCTTGAGAACCACTGTTCTAGGAAAAGGTGCATAGTTAAGTGTTTGCGTTTGAGCATATTTAAGGCAAGAGTAGGTTAACGGATATGAATTCATAATGGTTAAGGAGTTTAAGAAGATGCACGTTAAGGACTTTAAGTCATACTAGGTACATGTACAGGCTAAGGAGTTTATGAAGGTGCTAGGTAAGAATCATAAGCAGGATGACGACATTAACGTGTCAGCATCAAAAAAGCTTAATCTGAAAGACTAGTTAAGCATCAATCTTATAAACTGACAGCCACAGTACACACAAATGCCTCTTTCCCTTCGACATTAGTTCCAAAAAATGAGAATATATGGAAATTGAAAACACGAGAGATGCATTTTAAAACAGAAGTGCTATTTAATGTTTAATCATTGCCATTTTGCAAAATTCTATTGCGCCTTCAACATCATCAACCAACAGAAAGAAGTAAGCTGTACAAATGGACATGGAGAATGTTCAGGGAGAGGCATTAAAAATGCACATATTTAGACAATTTGCAGTATTTGTTGGGATTATTAGCATATAGCACTGCATAAATTGGATGAAGTTTTTACTTCTACCGTTGCCTGCATGAATAATATTATTTTTTTTGGGTAGAGGCTTTTGTAGAAGTTATAGAGAAATGGTCAAATGTCATGCAATCGGATAATAAAGTTTAAAGTGCTTAACAACATTTAATATAATGACTTGTTTTAAACTTTAATCCATGGTCTTATTCACTTCTTATTGAAAATTATAGCTTGCATGCAGTAATGACTTTTTATTGCTTTTTTTTTAACATAATATCAGTGAAGTTTGTCGAGCGAGGATGGCAAGGTATGGGTAGGGTTACCATCTAATTTTCATGAAAATACAGGACTTTTGGTAAAGTTTTTCGAAAAATACAGGACATAGAGTATAATTCGAAAATTAACGGAAATTTTCGTGAAAAAAATACAGGACCTGGAACAAAGTTTTCAAATTGATACAGGACAGGGTTTTGAAATACAGGACTGTCCGTTGTAAAACTACGCAGATGGTCACCCTAGGTATGGGTGAAGTGTAGGGTTAGGTATAAAAATAGGATTTGATTAGGTGTGTACCGAAGAACCAGCCTTTATGAAGTTCAAAGAAAATTGCAAAGTTCCTTTCCGGCAATCAAAAAACCTTCGCTCACCATTGCAGCTATAAATATACACTCTTAGCAATAATTGAAACAATAAAAATGCTAAAAGTAACACAACTCTAAAGAATAACTTTTTATTAACATTTAACCGGCCCTTCTACCTTTTTCACTCAACTCCTAAATATATCCGAAGGTATTCAAAAATTTATGGCTGCAAAATTATCCTTTCCTACCCAACATCGCTTCTCTCCCTCGTTTTCATGACAAAAGAAAAAAAGTTATGTTAGGAAAAAAAATATTACATTTTAGTCTCTCCTTTGTTTATGCTGTATAATGGTGCCATTGAATGTCATATCTTAAGTCTGTTGGGTTTTATGATGATAACAAAAAAAAATAATTCGAGTCGAAAGTACTTTTTGATGATGAAGGCATTGTACTAGAAAAATGCCCTCAATCCTTTCACTGCTGTTGATAAATTTTCTCATTCTTATTTTTAAATTTATATACTTTTTTTGATGATTGTGGGATGGAATGGGAAGTGGATGAATTGATTGGCCATAGTTTGTCTGGTTGGTTGTTAAGAGGTCAGGGGGGGAGGTCAGTTGACAATATTCGCTTCTCTGAAAGGTTTGAATCTGGAACTAAATTAAAGGGTTTGATCACAGTTTGGCTATTGCTACAATAGTGATGCATACTTAAAGATGCAGCAGCTTCAGTTTAAACTCATAACTCTTCTAAGCAAGCTTCTATTGGCAAAACTAGCTCATTCTTACATGCGCTCTTTACATCCAATCCTCAAATCATCTCCATAACGTCTCAACTTCGCCTTTCACTTCCTCCAACTCTTTCATCTTCATATCCAAAAGAGGAAAGAAGATATTGCCAAAATGAGAAGAATGAAGACTTCTCGATTCTTTCTTTTTTTTCCTCTCCCAATCACATAAATCTCATTCGCAATGAAAAACTTTCTTCATTCTTTACATTTAAATAACCTTTTTTTGCTCCGATTTCCGTTTCTATCGATATCATTTGGTTGGGATATAAAAAAGGATGTTTGCATGTATATCTGCAAAAAAAACGAGAAAAAAATTGAGAACGAGGGGGGATTGAATAAATTTCATATGCATCCTTTCCATTCACACAATTGATTTGCGATGAATTTTATATATTTTTTTGTGTATGGATATCTCGTCTGGATTTGAGCAGGGATGGATGTTAGAGCTGCAGCAAAGTTAAAATTGACGATCTGATGAGGAAATGATGTCATATCATTAAATCTGTCTGTCCACATGGCTGAAATTGTCTCTTAGACACCTTGACATTGATGATCAGGCGATGTGTGCAGTTCGAATTCACAAGAGGGCTTCTCCAAATCTGAAGACGCTTCTGATCTCGAAGCTTCAACAATTTCAAACACGAACAACAGCTACACAGCAGAAAAATTGTATTATAATTTAAAATTTATCAAAATAAAAAAAAATTTGATGCAAAGCAGATGCGAGAGATTATTTTTTGCACATTCTGCAGATTTTCGTGTCATGTGATGCATAAAGACAGCAAAAGAACGAGAAAACATGTAAATGAACCGAAAAAAAGGTTCGGTAATTTGAGAAAGCCTCTTAGCATAAAAATTAAATTAAATTAATGGTCTTGCCAGTCATTGTTTGGTGGTAATCTATAATATTATTTCAGTGTTTCTTGTTGTTGCTTATCTAAATGATAGCTTATGAATGGATGGGCCTCAGGCACTGCAATGAGTAATTTTTGAGAAAGAAACTCATCATGTACCCCAAATAATAGTTTCTCATTCCTCTTTCACTTCCATTATTATTGTTCCTTTCGTGACTTAATCTAACAAATTTTCAAAGCCATTTATCAGTTTTTTTTGAGAAATAATTTCTATTTAAAAAAAAATTAAGGCGTAGAGCAGTTAATTTCCTTCTTTTTTTGCTCTTCCATTCTTTCTCTCTTTTATTATTTTTTAGTTGTTAAATGCCTCTGTAATCAGGCAAAACTTTAATAATAGCAATAACATTCTTTCATTTTTTTTTGTTTTGTGTACGTTTCTCATACATTTTTTTGTGGGTTCTACTCTGTTTGGGTGGAAATGAAATAAATTGCATATGTAGCTAGAATTTCTGATACTGTTATGATATTTTGTTTCCAGATTGTCTATTTGTATCAGATTTATTCAGTTGCAAACTGATTAAAATGGTTAAGCCTGATTCACTGTCCAGATTTCAACCGATTCAGCAAAATTTCGAACCGATTCAGCCAGATTGTGAACCGATTCAGCCAGATTGTGAACCGATTCAACCAGATTTATAACCAATCCAGCCGAATTTGTAACCGATTCAGCCAGATTTAAACCTGATTCAACCAGTTTCAATTATATTCGATTTTACATTTTTGAACTTTATTCAGCTAGTTTTAAACTCTATCAAATAAGATTAAAGCGTTTTATCCAGAAAACTTTATTCTAATTAAATTTCTCCCAACTTGCAACTCTCTAGTCCCGCTAGTTCATTCTTCAGCAGACGAGAATGCACACAAAAAACCACACACAATCGACAAATGAGAGCGAATGAAGGAATTTTTATAATTAATTTTTTATGATAAATGGGATGTGAGCATGAATGAGCCACGGAATGGATAAATTTTTATTCATTCTTTTATTTCCTATTATTTTTTTTGCAAACAATTTCAATATTCAATTTAATTAAGTAAAAAAATATGGCAAGAGAGATTTAAAATGATAAATTTTGTGGTTTTATTTCATTGACATTGAAAGAATTTTTTTTCAGTTCGTGTGTTTTTCTCGCAAATTAAATTGAATAGAAATGAATTGAATTTGAACGATGGAGCGTCATTATTGGTCTGGATAGATGTCGATTGTGAACTGTATTTATATTTTATATTGAAGTTTTTGCAAAATTGCCAATAACAATTTTCATCTCATACTATACGATTAATGCTACAGAGCGTATTGTCTGTTTTATTTTAAACTTTATGTTTTATTCAGTTTTATACATAAATATTTAATTTGAATTTCATTTTATTCAATTTTGTTATTTTGAATTTTATTTATTTTTCGAGAGTATAGTGAATATATTAAGTGAACGAATTTCAAAATCATTTGATTTGTATGAATTGATAAGTTTTGAATGAATAGTGTTTGACTGAAGTGGCTGCTCAATATTGCAATTTGCTTTCTTTCTTAATTAATTGGAGTAACTATTAATGGATTTTTTCACCCGATTCATATGGTTTTAAACAGATTTCGACAATTTTAACCAATTCAGCCAGATTTTAACAGATTCAGCCAAGATATAAACCGATTCGACAAAATTATAACCGATTCTGCCAGATTTTATACCGATTGAGCCAGATTTATAACCGATTTAGCCATATTTGTAACCGATTCAGCCAGATTTAAAACCGATTCAGCCAGATTCATAACTTATTCAGCCAGATTTTTAATAGATTTATGAAGTAATTAATTTAGGGAAGCAGGAACATGAGTTTATTTACAATAAGCTTTTCCATTTTGTATAATAATTTTAAGTCTATGAAAAACTGAAAATTATATTAAAGCAATATAAATAGAGCCTCATAACTGATTTCTAAAATAAAACAGAAATAATTTTCACTTTTCATCCATTTTCATTATAAATCATCACATCCGCACATGTGTTGGAGGTGAAAAGATCAATTAATTTTATTAATCGTCATGTCTATATTAAAACACAGCTTTTAATGATTTTTTATAAATTTAGTGGCTTATGAGCTGTTTTGACTGACAGAACATGCCAATAATAAAATTGTCATATTGTTTGGGTTCAGTTTTGATTTTATCAACCTTGACTCTGCAAGCAGCAAGAAAATCAAAGAAAACACTTCTGGATGTTCCAATTATAAAAGAATTTACCTGTAACTTTTCAGCAGAGATGCAGGATCTGATATATGAAAATTCTTCTTGTAAGCTGACAAAAGTTGATCGTCGAATTAATGCAATTAACATTTATATAATGATTAAAGAGCCGGTTGATATGATTTGGGTAATTTTTGGTAGATTCTTTATTATTGGCGTAGCAAAGAGGCTAATTTGCTAGGCTTTATATGTATTAAAAATGCAAATATTTTTAAAACTTCAATAACTTTCAGATTAAAAGCTTATTGTTATTCAAAAAAGAAGGAAAATTCCGAGAAGTCTTAACAGGACCAGACATCGACTTTTGTACATTCGGTAGAGATAATCAAAATGGATTTCTCCTTCAGCAAGCATCTGATTTAGTAAAAAAAATCTTTCCTGGCTTCAAATGTCCTTGCAGTGTTGTCCACGTATCAAACATCACAGTTCCATCACATCCTGTTTTAAGCATTCTTCCTACGGGGTTTTATAAGCTTATAACATTTTTAAGACAAAGTGAGAAAGGTCCTAGCACTTGGAATATCACAACTGTTTTTCAATATGAAACTTATAAGGATAGATTGTGAACTGAAGAGATTCTGGAAAGTGAGAAGACAGTGAATGGCGTCATTTGATTTTGTTTTGTTAAAATAAAAGCTATTTTGTGTGATTTTAAATCAAAGCTGCTGACGAGCATTTGATTTAAATTAGGCAAAGTAAATGTAAATTGTCAATTTGATAAACTTTTATTAAAAATCATCACATCCGCAAATGTGCGGTAACTTAAATAATCGATTAATTTTATTAATTGTCATTTCTGTTCAACTTCAGTGATGTTTAGGCATTCTGACTGACATAACATGCTATTAAAAAATCTGCTTCAAAATTGTTTAATTTTAGTTCTGATTTTCTCGACGTTGACTCTTCAAGCGACTAGAAAAACAAAGAAAACTTTTTTGGATGTTCCAATTTTCAAGGAATTTTTCTGTAACTTTTCAGCAGAAATGCAGGAAATGATGTTTTCAAATTCTTCATGTAAACTGACAAAAGTTGATCGAAAAATTAATGCAATTAATATTTACATCTTGCTGAAGGAACCCGTAGACATGATCTGGGTAAGTTGATAACATAATAAAGTCGATCAATCCAGAAAATAAGTTCATTCAATTGCCAATTTTCAGATGAAATGCATTTTATACTTTAAAAAGGAAGGAAATTTTCGAGAAGTCTTAACCGGACCAGAGATTGACTTTTGTACATTCGGCAAAGAGAAGCAAAATGGATTTTTACTTCAACAAATTCAAGATTTAATACAAAGAGTCTTTCCTGGTTTCAAATGTCCTCGCAGTGAACTCAACATTTCAAATATTACAATTCCTGCACATCCTATTATGAGCGTTCTTCCTACAGGATTCTATAAACTTATGACATTCATAAGGTATACTGAGAATGGACCAAGCTCGTACAATGTTACGACACTATTTCAGTTTGAAACTTATAAGGATAGACTGTGAATTAATAAAGTTTGATCAAAGGTCGTTAATTTGTGACTTTGTTTATTATTTTTTTTGTAATAAATTTATCATTTAAAACCACAACATCCGGACTAGCATGGGAAGTAAAAGCTATAAAATTTATTAATTGCAATATCAACTTTGTTGTCATTTAGTTGATATTAAGGCATTTTGACTGAAACATGTCAATAAAATATTGTATAGCTTTATTCCTCATAATATTTTCAACTTTGACCCTACAATCGCCTAGAAGGACAAAGCAATCAATGCTCGATGTTCCAGTCATAAATGAATTTTTTTGTAACTTTTCATCTGAAATGCAAGAAATGATGTATCAGAATTCATCATGTAAGCTGACGAAAGTTGATCGTCGAATTAATGCGATTAATATTTATATTTTGCTTAAGGAGCCAGTGAACGTGATTTGTGTGAGTTTTGAGGATATTTTTAATATAGAAGTAATACTTGCCTCACTGGATAGCTATCGATAGTGTCAAACATTAGTTAAATTGAGTTGTGTGTTAAATGAGATGCAGGCGCGTAGCCAGAATGGTATTTCCCACCTCCTAAGTGTTTTAGGCCGTGCTCTTGCTGCGGTCTAAAACGTTTAAGGGGGGGGGGGGGAACAAGACCCTCCTGGCTACGCGCCTGATGAGATAATTTGAGATCTTAAACCTTACAAAACATATAACAACTTTCAGATAAAAAGCAATCTATACTTCAAGAAGGATGGAAAATATCGAGAAGTCCTCTCAGTTCCTGAAATTGATTTTTGTGGATTAGGAAAAGACAAACAAAATGGATTTTTACTGCAGCAATTTGACGACATGGCGAAAAAAATCTTCCCATCGCTCGCTTTCAAATGTCCTCGTAGTGCTTTGAGCATCTTTAATGTTACTGTCCCATCACATCCTCTTTTAAGCTTTCTTCCGACAGGATTTTATAAGCTAATAACATTTATAAGATATAGCAATAGTGGACCTAGTCACTATAATATCACAACATCTTTTTCATTTGAGACTTATAAGGAACGATTGTGAATTAAAAGAATTTATAAATTTATCATCCAAACCTGCTCACATTTTTCTTTTATATGTTGGATGATAATGGCTTACCGAAATAACACAAGTCGGTTAGTTGAATATAAACAAGCTCGTGTGATTCTGGCATGGCGCTAGATTTAAATTAAAGCCAGCACCATGCTATAGTCATGCCGGCTTGGCACTAGATTTCTGTTCGATCAACCGACTTGTGCTATTCGGAAGACGTCATTTATTGATGATTCAAGGGCACGGGAGAAGCTGCAAGAGTTTTAAGGTTACAATTAATTTATCGATTGAAAATTCATTAATTTGAATTTTTTTTTAAATTAATTGGAACCTTAATCACCCGAATAGCACAAGCCGGATTCAATTTGGGTACAGAACTGTAGAGTCTAAACCCAGTTTAAATATACTTTAATATGAGCAATCGTTTTATTCGACTCTTATCTACTTAAATATCTATTCAAAAAGTGACCATTATTTATCCGCTCAATGAAGCTCCATCCCCTCGATCTTAACGCAGCTTCAGACCCCTACAAGAACCATGCCAGATTTCTGATCGATTAACCGACTTGTGCTATTCTGGATAGCAACAAATTTTTTTTCATCTTAATTAAAAATTTTAAAATCATAAAACAATTATTTTTTATTAATATATCTAGTAATTATTTCTCATATCATTAATGTGCTATAAGCCCTTGTCACCAATAAATAGCTTAATCATACGTTCTTGTACTGCCATTGAAATAAAATGTGTAAAAATCTGCTTAAAATTTCGACATCAATTTTAATGATTTTAGTTTTATTTCAAATAGAAAATTTGATTGCCGGGAAGTCGAAGCAGAGCTTGTTGGATTTTCCTAGATTTACGAGATTTTCTTGTGAATTTTCTGACGAAATGCGGAAAATAATGCACCAAAATTCAAGCTGTTTTGTGTCCAAAATTGATAAAAGGTTGTTAGCTATCAACATGTATATTGGATTTAAGATTCCGACTGATCATATTTTTGTTAGTATCAATATGCAATCTAGTACATCAAAACCTAATCAATCCTTCCAAATTCCAGACCCAATGTATTATATTCTACAAAAGTGACGGATCATTTCGAGAAGTCGTAACAATCCCAGAATTTGATTGGTGCTTAATAGGAAGATCAAGTTATGATGGATTTTTGATGCAACAATTAAATGAGTTGGTCAAAAGACTCCTTCCACACATCATGAGCAAGTGCCCAAGAAAGGAAGTTTCCACCTCAAATTTAACATTTCCGTCGCATAAGTTTTTCAGCTTTCTGCCAACTGGTCTTTATAAATTTATTGCCAGTGTCAAGTTTAATCAGAAAGGAAATATTTTGTATAATATGACAGGGCAGTTTGTGTTTGATGCTTATAAAGATAAAATTGGGTCTTAACAAGGTTGAAGCTAGGAATAAATTGCTAATTTTTTGCAGCAGAAAATTGTGTTGGAATAAATTCAAATTTATCAAAATTATTAAAATTAAAATATTTAAATCATCCAAAATGCTATTAATTTTCACCGCAATCAAATGAGCCTGCAAAATTAAACATTTTCCATCAATTTTTCTACAGCTTCTATTCAAAAATGACCGACACGCTGCAAAAAACTTTCATTTTTCTTTTAATAAATTCAATTTTATTTCAATTTCAATTTTTATTGGCTGGAAAATCGAAACAAAATTTTATAGATACGCCACGATTCAAAGCATTTGCTTGTGAATTTTCCGATGAAATGCGTCAATTGATGTATTCTAATGCAACATGTAAATTGACGAAAATTGATCGTAGACAGACAGCAATGACTCTTGATATTCAGTTCATAAATCCAACTGATCATCTTATTGTAAGTATTTAAATTGTAGACCCGAATTGCGAAAGTCGGTTAATCAATCAAAAATCCGGCACCAAGCATGACTCTGGTGCTGGATTTAAATTCGAACAAGCACCATGCCAGAGTCATGCCGGCTTGACAATTAGATTTTCATTCGATTAACTGACTTGTGCTATTCGGGAGACGTAATTTATTGATGATTCTAGAGGGGCGAAGCTACAAGAAGAGTTTTAAGGTTAAAACTAATTCATCGATCGAAATTTCATTAATTTAATAAGTTTTGAACTAGTTCGAACCTTCATCAAGCTCATTATAGCACCATCTAGCCTTATCCCATGGAAAGACTCTTATCTCAACCTTACAGCCAGGGGCGTAGCCAGAAAAATTTTAAGGGGGGGGGGGCCCATTTTCGAAAATTAAAAACCGTTATTTTGTATCCTTAAATCTATATTAATTCTTGATAAGTTTAAATATTTAATTCATTATTCATGCATTAAATTTTATTTTTCGTGCTGATTTTGACATTTTTTTCATCACTTCCTCTACATTAACTGGTTCTTCTCTATAAATACTTAATAAAACAATTATCAGATTTTCGTATGAGGGGCCCGGGCCCCCTATGGCCCCCCTCTGGCTACGCCCCTGCTTACAGCCATTTAATAACCTCTTATAATTCAGTTCCAGTGCATCATATTCTTCAAATCTAATGGAAACTTTCGAGAAGTTATAAAAATTCCAGAATTCGATTGGTGCCTTGTTGGAAAACTTAAATTTGATGGATTTCTTCTACAACAATTGACTGAAATGGTTAAAAGACTCTTTCCTAATATTATGAGCAGTTGTCCAATGAAGCAAATGCGAGTTAGAGATCTGATCTTTCCGTCCCATCCATTCTTTAGCTTCTTGCCAACTGGAACTTATAAATTTATTGCTAAAGTTAAATTTGATGAAAAAGGACCAAATCTTTATAATTTGACGGGAATGTTTGGTTTTGAAAATTATAAGGATAAGATGTGAGCTTAAGCAAGATGATTAGGTTGTTGAGGGGTCATTCAGGAATTCCGTCAATTGAGAAAAGTTATTTTTAAGCCCCATTGCTATGTCACAATTGATATGTCACAAAATTTCAATTCAAAAAGCTTTAATTTAATCATTTGTTGTTACATTCGAGTTGGTTTTAGCATTCAAACAAGTCTGATGTCAATTCAGTCTATTCTAGCTAGTCTCTGGATACAACATTTTACCAATAAAATTAAAATCTCAACAATTTTGTAGCAATTTGACTCGTTTTTAATTGAAAGCGGAAGTTAGTAATGAATGATTCCACGCTTTACTATCTCATTTAACACATGTCTGATTCTGTCTGGCAACAAACTGAAAAATTATTATTTTTCAGAGAGTATATTAAGCCGACATGAATTCACATTTATTTTATATTGTCATCCTACTGCTATTGAGTTTTAAGACAGCATATTTAAATGCAAGATCAAAACAAAGTTTATTAAATACGCCAAGGTTCAAAACCTTTTCGTGCATTTTTTCTCAAGAAATGCTTGAAATGATACATCCAAATGTTACGTGTAAAATTGACAAGATTGATCGAAGGACATCAGCTTTGAATGTTTACATAGGATTTAAAGTTCCAACCGATCATATTTTTGTAAGTTTAATTGGACTAGATTCAGTGTTTGTTAAGGTTGAAGCTGTTTAATTTGTTGGAACTAGGATGCAGAGTGTTCTGTAAATTTAGGGTCTATTTTCTAGTGTTACCAAAGCCTAGTCTCAGATAAACTTTTCCTATGTCCCATTTTATAGAACATTGAAGTTCATTCCGACAATAGGCTGCCTCAGAGCCCTAGAATCCAGCATCAGGCTATCTATACGAAGGGACATTACATTGTCTTATACCTGAACTGTTCGAATATTCTTTGTAATAACCAGTCAACGATAAATCATGATGATGCAAGCAAACAGCAAACATATTGTAACTTATATATGAGATTTAGTCATAAAGCCGCCCAGTCCTTGATAGCTCAGTGGCAGGGGCGTAGCCAGAAAATTTTTAAGGGGGGGGCCCATTTTCGAAAAATAAAAAACCGTTATTTTGTATCATTAAATCTATATTCATTGTTCATAAGTTTAAATATTTAATTCATTATTCATACATTATATTTAATTTTTCGTGCTGATTTTGACATTTCTTTCATCACTTCCTCTACAATAACTGGTTCTTCTCTATAAATACTTAATAAAACAATTATCAGATTTTTGTAGGGGGGGGGCCCGGGCCCCCTATGGCCCCCCCTGGCTACGCCCCTGCTCAGTGGTAGGAACATGCGACTGGAAATCTTACATTGTGGGTTCGAGTCTAACTCGGGATCCATTATTTGGAGTTATTCTGTTTTCTGTGGTTTTGTCATCTAGTAATTTGCTTCTTTCTTCTGTATCTAGCTGTATCAATATGAGCAGCATCAAAGCCCTGAGCCTATAAACATGAAAATGTGAAATCCCTTTTAAATCCCGAAATGCATCAGCAGGCGCGTAGACAAGGGGAGGGGGGGGGGGGGAATTTGGGGGATAAATCTACCAACTTAAAAAGAAATTTCTTTATATTGCTAGGGTTTTTGTGGAAAAATCACATGATTAATCCTGAGTTTCCACGCCTTGCTTTAAAGCTTCTTTACACTGAACTAGTATCTTCGTTCCTCATCAACTGAATAATAATTAACTCAATTCTATTTCCAGTCACAATGTCATTTGTATTATAAATCTGACGGAGTTTTCCGAGAAGTCATAGTAACTCCAGAATTCGATTGGTGCTTAATTGGAAGAGCTACTCAAGAAGGATTTTTCCTCCAACAGTTTTCTGAAATGATCAGAAAGGTTGTTCCAAAATTAATTAGCGATTGTCCTCGATCATTCTTGGAAATTAGAAATTTAACACTTCCATCACATCCGTTCTTTAATTTCTTGCCAAGTGGAGTTTTTAAATTTATTGCCAAGATGAGGTTCGTTGAGAATGGACCTAATCTTTATAATGTTACTGGAACATTTCAGTTTGAGTCTGTGAAAGATAAATTGGGGAATTGAATTTGCTTCAACCAAATAACAATAATTATCAAGATTTTGTGGATTTAAAAACAATTGCAATTTTTTGAAGCTTAAAATTATCACAATTATCCATTAATTGCTTACTGATCATTAAAGTTATAAATATAAAATTTAAAAATGTTGTCGATTATTTGCGTGAATTTCAATGCGTTATGAACAGAACTTTGCTTGCAGTTTCTTCATGTCTGTTATTAACATTAGTGTCAGTGCTGCTTGCTGCAAAACCCAAGCAAAATTTGTTGGACATTCCAAGATTCAAGACATTTTCGTGTGTTTTTTCTAAGGATTTTCGTCAACAGTTCTACCCAAATTCAACATGCAATATGACAAAATTGAACAGGCAGACAACAGCTTTGAACTTTAATGTCCACTTGTGCAATCCAACTGAACATATTTTCGTAAGTTTTTGTTGTTATTCCACAGCCAATTTAATGGGATACACTTCCCAATCTTAGCCACAATTTAGTCTTAAAGTCTCAATTTCTCTCAAGCTTCAATTGATATTGCTCTACAAAACATCTGATGGAAGCTTCCGTGAAGTCATTAAATCTCCAGAGTTCGATTATTGCCTCTTAGAATCAACACACTTCGATGGATTTTTACTGGAGCAACTGACTGAATTATTCAGGAAAGTCATAGCAAAAGGAACTTATAAATGTCCTTTAAGTGTCATTTCATTTTGGAACATTACACTTCCAGCTCACAAGCTATTTTCTTACTTGCCGAGTGGACTTTTCAAAATTATCGTTCCAATTAGATATGATGACAAAGGACCAAATAGTTTTAATGTAACTGGAACTTTCCAGTTTGAATCATTTAAAGAAAAATTGGGAAATTGAGGAAGTTTGTCTTTGTGAATTTTTAATAATTTTTCGAGCACGTAAAATTATCCACATGATGCACACATCATTAAAACTTAAATAAAATATTTTTTTTCGAATTGAACTTTGCAACTACATACGAGTAGTTGCTGTTTTAGCTATAAAGCCTGAAATGATCCAAAAAATGATATCGAAGCTAACAAGCGAGATCATTCTTTGAAGTCGTAATTCCTAAAATTTTCAAGTTTATAGCCAACATTTTAGAGCTGTCTTTAGACGATCTTTGAACGTGGCAATGGACCCACAAGGAAGGAAGTAAGTAGTATAGCCAACATGAAGTTCGACCTAATCTTAATAAAGTTCCTGAAGAATAACAATTTGAGTCAGTTGGTGAATTAGAATTGTTTCTGTTTATTTTGATTTCAAAACCAATTTGAATAATTAGAAGCTTTATCACAATCATCCATTAATTGCTTACCGATCATTAAAGTCAAGAACAAAATAATATCAGTAATTTCATTGAATTTTTGCGTGAATTTCAGTCCATAATGTACAGAACTTTGCTTTTAGTGTCTTCCTGTCAGTTGTTGTCATTTCTTCTTGCTGCAAGATCCAAACAAAATATGATAGACATTCCAAGATTCAAATCATTTTCTTGTATTTATTCTAAGGAATTTCGTGAACTTATTTATTCAAATTCCACGTGCAATATTACAAAATTGGACAGACAGACAACAGCATTGAACTATTACATCCATTTATTTAATCCAACTGATCATGTTTTCGTAAGTATTCATTTATGAAATGTCTCTGGAAGTCTCAGAGCAGCAGAACTGATGAAATGATCACAATGCAATTCATCAGTTCCGCAACCTTGCTTTTCTTGTGGATTTTAGCTACAATTCATATTGCTTTATAAATCATCTGACGGAAACTTCCGTGAAGTCATCAAAATTCCAGAGTTTGATTTGTGTCTCTTTGGATCGTTTCATTTCGATGGGTTTATGCTGGAGCAGCTGAATGAATTAATTAAAAAAGTCATTCCAAAAGGATCTACTAAATGTCCATTGACTAAATTAGTATTTTGGAACATTACAATTCCATCTCACAAGCTCTTTTCTTTCTTGCCAAGTGGACTCTTTAAGGTTATTGTCCTGGTTAGATATGATGACAAAGGACCTAATCTTTATAACGTAACATCGAGTTTCCAGTTTGAATCAATTAAAGAAAAATTGGGAAATTGAGGAAGTTTGATTTTGAAAAAAAAAATATAATTTTGGAGCACTTTAAATTATCCACATGCTGCACATCGTAATCATTAAAATAATATAATATAAATAAAAATAATATAATTTTAACTATTGCATACACAATATTGAAGCATGTGGATCAGGTCATTTTTTATAATATTTTCACTGCCATTGGCAATACTATCAGCTACAAAGCCTTATCAAAGTATGCTGAATATTCCAAATTTCAAATCATATTCTTGTCAATTTTCCGATAAGATGCAGGAACTTAGGGGCCATTCACTTATTACGTAACGCTTTTAGGGGGAGGGGGGGTCTAAGATTTTGTTACGGTTCAAACAAGGAAATTTTTTTTTCATACAAATTTTGTTACGAGGGGGGGGGGGGGGGGGGGGGTCTAAGAAGTCATTTTTTCGCGTATTCAAATTTCACGTGTGATTTGACAAAAATCGATAGAAAAAGATCAGCATTGAATTTTTATATCCAGTTCAAAAATCCACCAGCTCATTTATTTGTAAGATTTATCGAAATCTAGTGATTTTAAAAAATAAATTAAAAACGTTTTCTTAAATCAGATGAAATGTACTTTATCGTACAAAACTAATGGACATTTTCGAGACGTTGTTGCTACACCAGAATTTGACCTTTGTTATGCAGTTTCAAACCCTAAAAATGGAAATTGACTTCAGCAAGAGCTTGATTTGTTGGGAAAAATTGTACCACAATTGTTGGGAAACTGCCCTATTTCATACATCGACATTAGAAATCTGACGGCCCCAGCTCACCAAATATTCAATCTTTTACCAAGTGGCCTTTATAAACTTCTCTTTACAATTAGATTTGATGATAATGGACCAGTTCTGTATAATGCGACATTGATTTTTCAATTTGAATCACTTAATGATAAGATGAGAGCTTAAGTGATACTATTCTGAGGAGAGAGTCGTCGAATGTTTAAGACCTAGATTTGGAAAAACAAAATATGCACAGCACTTTATGAATTGGATGCTTAATAGATACTTACTACCTGCCATTTTGAAGTTCTTAATAAAACAAAGTATAAAACCACCATTTTGAATTTCACAAAACAAAAATCCACCATTTTGAATTTTACCAAACAAATAAATCACCATTTTGAATTTTTGCAACAGAGCAAAAAATACGCCATTTTGAAATTCGCAATAATGAGAAAGGGGCGTGGTTAAAGGTGAAAAGAGTCTGAATAAAATTTTTGATCCAGAACTTAGGGGTTGTTCTCTTATTACGTTCGAAATTAACAGTCATTTTTGCAAAAAGAACAATGGATTTCATGTTATTGTCCTTTCCTGCTGACCCCCCCCCCCCCTCCCCCTCCTGGACGTCATTAGTGAACGGTCCCTTAACTTATTACTAGTTTGCCTTCATATAACTGATACAAGAGACACATTATATAAGAACAACTTAAAAAATACATCGAGTCTATAAACCTTGTTATATGACTTGATCTTTGAATTATGAGCTTTCAATCAACTTTGACCTGAGACCTAATCAAACCTAATACTAAGACCACTTAAACATTTATCGTGTAATTTTCAAAAAAATCCTAATCTTTTAAATTACATCAATTTTAACATTAAACGTAATTTGACATAATTATTCAAAAATTGTGTTTAACAAGCAGAAAACTACACCTGAATTACTCTTTAATCACAAACTTAGATTCTCTTTTAAAATCAAATAAGTTTGTGATTTTGTTTTAAACTTAAGTCATGAGGAGACAATTCTTATTAAAATTCTTCATTTTATTACTAATCTTTGCAATTTTTACTTTTATACAAATATCAAATGCTGCAAAGCCAAAGCAAAGCTTATTGGATACTCCGAGATTCAAGTCAGTATCGTGTAACTATTCAGATGACATGCTTAAGATGATTTATTCAAATTCAACCTGTAAAGTGATTCAAATTGATAAAAGAATTGGAGCAATTACATTATATGTACTTTTTAAGCAGCCAATACATGCGATTATTGTAATTATTTTCAAGGGGCTGACAAATTTGATTTTGTTTTGGAATTAAGGTTTACTTAAATGAGATTTGCTTAAATTTTACACAAAAATTGGATTAAACTTTGGGAAGATTTTATAAAAACTGTAAAGTTTAAAACATTAGTAATTTTGATCTAAGAAAGTCTTATTTTTACAAAATTTCAATTTGACAGCCCCTTAAGAAATTTTCATAACCTCAATTCTCATAACCTCAAAATTCTCCTAACCTCAAAATTCTGCATATTCTAGATCAAATCACGTTTATTCTTCAAAAAAGAAGGAAACTACAGAGAAGTAATTTCACCACCTGAAATTGACTTATGCTTACTTGGATTGTCTCAAGGTGATAACTTTCTGACGCAACAGATTACTGACATGCTGAAAAAAGTAATCGTAAGTTTATCCACTATATGCCCGAGGAACAGTTTCAATGTAACAAATTTGGCATTTCCACCTCATAAACTTTATTCAATCTTACCGTCTGGATCTTATAAAATTGTACTTCATGTGAAGTTCCGTGAGACATCTCTAACAATGTTCACTTTAATTGGAGTGTTTCAGTTTGAGTCACTTAAGGATAAGCTTGGAAATTAAATTGGGTTAGTGTGGTGTTGGAGGAGAGGTGTATAGCTTTTTATGTCTTACCTGAGGGATCAGATTCTGTTAGGAATCGAACCCACGTTCTCACAAAAATGAAATTCTGATTTCTTGTTTTGGTAAATAATCAACTGGCCATAGAGGTCTTACCATTGCAATAGCAGATTCATCTTTATATGACCATTTTTCGTACACCCCGAGCGACTAAAAGGTTTAAAATGACATGCTTCCTGATCACTTGACCAATGTTAAGCTTGTGAGGCAGCTGTGACATTGCCATTGCCGCTATAGTAACACAACGTTGTGTAATTGGCTATGGCAGTGTCACGGCTACTTCACGAGCATTAATATGGTGATCCCGGGGAATCATCAAGTTGAACTTGTGTGAAACTGAACTTATTAGTAGTTCGGGGCATTTAAGTCAAGCATTTGTGGCTGAGCGGTTTGATATCAAACACGAAGCTTTTAACAATCTATTTTTGAGTAAACCTAGGTTCGATTCCTACCAGGGGCGGTTACTAAGACTACTTTAACTGTGACAACCCTCGAGTAGCCATATAAACTGGCCTGAAATCAAATTTTTCCAATGAAATGATTCTGACTAGCATAAAATTCACAGCGTTACACTTAAAAGTATTTCTGATAGTTAATTGAAAATCATTTCAAGTTACCTGCCCTAGACTATCTCCCGACCACAGAAAAATATTTAATCAATCCATTTTCACTGAAAAAAAGTTGTTTAAAATGCCAACAAATTTGCCATCCTTATGTCAATGTCTCGTTCAAATATTAAAATAAAATATTTAAACAACAAATTTTGTGTCTTGTGTACATTACAAATAAATATTTAAATTTTTTATTCCATATCGTTCGATTCAACAATAAAAATTCATTTTTCATAGCTATAACTCAAATAATAAATTGGCGAATATTTACATTCAATTTTTTTTTTGCAAATATGTGAGAATAAAAGAGTCATTGGAATTTGCATAGCTAATTTTTTTTTGTGTGGTTCAATAATAATAATTAAAAATTGTTTTGGTTTTCATATTTTATTTAAAAATATGGATAGCAGCGAAAAAAAGTTAATTGAATTTTTGTTTTTTCGCTATTGAATATTCATGTCAATTTTATTGGTTGGCTGGCTTTTTAGCTACTTTGAATTTGTAATGAAGGCGTGCATGTTTCACATTTATGATGTCTATATTATTTTAATTTTTAATTACAATCGAATAAAAAATTGGATTTTTTTTTTAAAAATCTAAATTCGGATTTTTGAATTACTTTGTTGATGAAGCTCGGAGAAGCCTAAGATGGGAATTAACAATTCAATAAATTATGCCAGTGGTGACCAACCTTTTTCATGCCGCGGCACACTTTATTGCTAAGGCACACGGCATACAGTTCGTGGGAATATCCGAATTTATTCACGACACACTAGTGTGTCGCGGTACATAGGTTGTCCATCACTGGATTATGACGATGATTTCATTAGTTTATCCGAATGATCTAATCTGTTTAATATGGTATAATATTGAATTCTAGACATTAAGGCGAGTAAATAGATAGCTTTATGTGACTTAGTCTGCAGTTGAGTAGCTAAAATTGTTTCGACCTTAAACAAAACTGTTTCCTGATCCCAATTGACCTAAAAAGATCCAGTTAAGTTTTAATCGTGTCTGGAACAGAAAACTACGATCCAGTTAAATTTTAATCATGCCTTGAACTGAAAATCAAGATCCAGTTAAATTTTAATCATGTTGCAACTTTAAACTGCTTTAAACCAAGATCCAGTAAAGTTCTAGTCATGTCTGGAACTGTTCCTATTACAACTTAAGTTTAGAAGATCCTGTTAAGAATAGTTCAAGTTATCATTCTGCCAAGCTTCAAAGCAGTCTATCGATAGCTTGGCATTAAAAGCATCCAAAGAGCGTGAGTACGATTCCTGCTCAGCATAAGTTGTTGCTAAGATTCTTTATTGTTCCATAATTTACCCTGAATTGAACACAATAAGTGTCTGCTTGAACAATATTTTTGCACAGCTGAATATGAAAAGAATCAAGCATTTAAATTAACATTAGCAGCACAACAATTCCGCTCATTAATTCCGATATATTTCAATAATAACATGAATAAAATAATAGATATAGAAACTAAATACTTCCACAATATTTTAGAATTCAAAAATTATTCGATAAGCTTAATATCCACCAAATACAAAGAATTCTAGCCATAAATTCTGTCAAATAAATTCAAATAGATGTGTTTTTTTTTGCCTGCAGATATAATCTACATGACAAGTCGACGAGCTATATAAATTACATTACCGTAGCAGAAAATGAATAAATATAAAAACAAGCCGTGTAATGAAAATCCACCACACGATCAGCGTGTACGGAGTAGGAAAAAAAAAATATATGTATAAATAAATTTTGTGGAACACAATGAATACATTAGCAGCTAATATCGCGATAAATTTATATTTACTATTTTCGCATATCTAAATATTGGTCAATGGTCTTAATAATTTTCACGCTAATTTAAAACCTTCACAATTTTTATAATTTTAAGCATTTTACCTTGTAAATAGAATTTAATGAAGCCATAAATGTATTTTAATAGGTTTTTGCAATTCCAATTTCGAAGGTCGATAGGATTTGTACAAGAAAACTTAAAACTAAATGCTAATAATTTAATTAAATTCACTGTTTTGCTCCCTCACACATTTGACACGGCTATCTTGAGGTTTATATTTAAAATGCTTATTATTTCCACTAGCTGACTAATTCATGGGTGGCTTACTGTCATTTTACGACTCTTTTTTATTTTTATATTTTTTAAACTTGTAGATTTTTTTTTAAATTCACAGCCATTTGGAGGAAGAGTGTTATGAGTAAAGAAATTATATTGGGTTTTGAGCGCATTTTTTTGGATACACATGAGAGTTTATACATCGGGATGGGAGCTTATGACTGAAGAATTACTGGATCGTTCACTCATTTATGACTTTAAGGAGCTCAAAACAAGATACCAAGTCCAGTGCAACCCAAAGTACTCCATATAATTTTCTAATGCAGTGGTTCTCAATAGTTTTGGACTACGTCACTTTAAAGGCAGATCAATGAAGCTTGTTTGCTAGGTCCGAATCATGAACCAAGTTTGTTTATATATTTTGTAAATTTTTAATGTACCACTTAAAGCTCTGAGGGCTAGGAGGCATTAGCTTATGCTATGCGAGACCAAAAGCTATTCACCTAGTGTAAATTCGGATTTTTGCCATAAAACAGGAGGGTTGTGTCACGGAGCCAAGTTTGAGAAGCTAAAGTGTTGTCAAAATCTTCAGCTGAATGAAGGCTACACACTGAGTTGACCCTAGTTGAGAAGTTTACTAAAAGATTGAGACTTAACAGCCAACCTAGTCACTTGCACAACACCAGCAAAACACCGTACACACCAATTATAAAATAATTCATAAAAAGAATCCTCAAGTCAATTAGACAAGCCTGCATCAATGAAATAATAAAAAAAAAATCCACATTCTCGAAAAAAATGCGTCATTAAAATTTTTGTATACTTCGCATCGCATCCAACGACGACTCTATAATATGAAATGAACAACATCGGAGCGACAACGATGATGATGTTGATGATGATTATCACAAATGGAAAATTCACATAAATTAAACATACTTAAGCAGGCATTAACATGCTCAACATGTTTTTGTAGTCATTAACTTGAAAACAAAAATTTATTCATTTATTTCTGTGATGTCGCTGTATATAGTTATGTCGTATAATTTCCAATGAAAAAGCATTGATGGCAATCTCAATCTCATCTCATATAAATTCCAATGTAATAATATACATAAATGTCTAAATACCCATATGTATATACACCTTTTTTTTTATTCCAGTGAATGGTCATGTGTGTGTGTGTGTCTTCCTTAACGAGAATTAAAATTTATAAAAAAAATGGAAATTATTGTGGCGTCATTGCAAAAAAAATATAGTCTTTATTGCTCGATGAATCGTCAATTTCGATTTATGATAATTTATACTCTATTTTAATAGAAAAACTTTATATCTTTTTTTTTTGAGGCTAAGAGGTAGTGAATTTAAATTGTTATTTTTTAGCATAAGAGCAAGATAAATTTAAAGAGTTTATTGCATTCGATTGTCATAATATCGAATATCTAAATGATTTTTTTAAATGACTCAAAATTAAAGTTTAATTTATGGAAATTGACACAGAAAATGATTTTGTCAAATATTTAAATTTTTTGAACAAATTAGGTCTTTATTAATGCAATTTAAATTTTAAAACTTTTATTTGACTTACCACTGACCCCCCCCCCCCCCCCCCCCCTCCTCCCCTCCGACGGTAGAATAGATTCTATCATCGATCAGGATCGCAGTGCATTCAGCTCGTCGCATCGTGTAGTAACACATCGCCAGGCTGGAACCCTCTCACATTATTATTACCACTGACCCCCCTCCCCCCCCCCCTTCCGACGGTACAATAGATTCTATCATCGATCAGGATCGCAGTGCATAAAGCTCGTCGCATCGTGGAGTAACATATCGCCAGGCTGGAACCCTCTCACATTATTATTACCACTGACCCCCCGCTCTCCCCGCTCTACCCCCCCCCCCCCCCACTTTATTTCTTTGAGTAAATACCAAAACTCAAAGTTCGAGTCGAAAAAATTTGAGTCAACTCGAACCCTATCAACTTCGAGCTCTGGTAAATACAGATTTCGTCGTTACAGATGCGCAAAGACGAACTTAGCTCCTGTTTCACGTTGAATCATGGCTGTAATCAATATTTTCAATTTAACGGGTATTTGATATTCAATTTTAATGGCTTTATCCAGTGTTGCCCAAACTTTTTGAACCACGGTACCTAAAGATGGTAACCTATGACAAAAACCGCACACAGCGTGCGGTTCGTTGCTTTTTAAAACAATTTTATGGCACACAGCTTGGACAGCACTGGACTAATCCAATGTCAATTATGTGTGTACCAATAAAATTAAAGTTAATTTAAGGGGCCGTTCACTTATTACGTTCGCATTTTAGGGGGGTGGAGGGGTTTGAAAAATTGTAACAAAATGTAACATAGAGGGGGGGGGGGGTGTCAAGAAGTACGTAACGTTCTAACTGTCGTCAAATTTATTTCAAAATTATGAACGTTCAGGGGGGGGGGGGAGGTTGTGAGTTGTAACATATTGTAATAAGGGGGGGAGGGGGGTAGGTGAAAAAAGTCGTTTTTTGCGTAACGTAATAAGTGAACGGCCCCTAATCAAAGTAACAGTTAAGCGCATTATTTCTGTTGTGAAATTTGTTACAAATTAAAGCAATATTTGCTCAAAATTAGAAGTCCTTGTATAATCAGGTGAACACGAATTAAGTTTGTCATAGCTGATTTACTATTAATGCTTATCATTAATATACAGCAATGGATAATCCAGAACTATACAATCAAAACAATCAACCTCAACAATCTGGAGTTCAGAAGTATTTAAGCTTTTATGGTGAAATGTTAAGAAATCAATTTAATGACAAAGAAGTTGACTTACTTGACATCGGTAGTGGATGTGGAAGAGTCTTGTCTGAAATTATAATTGTTAAAAGTGGCCTGAAATTTTCAAAAATTATTGGAATCGATGTGAGCGAGGAAATGGTGAAATTTTCAAATACAAAGTATGGTAGTGACTTGATTTCATTTCACGTGATGGACGCTGAAGGGGAAGTTCCTGAAATTTTAAATAATCAACGATTTGACATTGTTACTTCATTTTACTGCCTGCCTTACTGCAAAAACCTAAATGCAGCAATCCAAAATATTCAGAAGTTCTTAAAGCCAAATGGATTATTCTGCTGCATTTTTTCGCAGCTGCCAAAATCCATCAATGAAAATGAGCTGGTTAGTTCCGATGATAAACATGCGAAGTACATGTTTAAGTACAGAGACTTGCCAAATGCTAGAGTGCCGGATGATGTGATTGGAGTTATTGCAAGACATTTAAATGCAAACGGAATGGAATCAATTGAAGTGACTGACATTGAGAATGATGGATTTGAGTTTGCGAATGTTGAAGCTGCTAGACGTAAGTTAAAAGATTTAATTTATTGAGAATTAAAATTTATTGCAGAAACTTCTACTTTAAGGCTTGATTGAGGCCGTAATTCCAAAACTAAAGAACATGTCATTAAGTGAAAAGCAGGAAGTCATTGACAAGCAATTTAAAATGAGTGAAATCAACCAAATTGGTGATAAAGTTGTGTTTGCTCTTAGAAATTTATATTTTATAGCACGAAAGTTGTAAAACTGTCACTAATTGGTTGACCTGAAAGTTCTTTGCTATAGCGAAGTATTCGAAAAATGAAGATTGAAGTCAATGACTTGACATGAAATTAAAGTATTTATCGCATTGATTGTTAAATAAAAGAGCAGTTTGTTACGCATTTTAGTTGTTATCCCTTAGATAAAGTTTTGAAGTTGATTATATTGCTAGCTTATAGTAGAGCTCGCTTAAACTGCTGCATGTGTATATAAATTGTAAAACAAGTCGAGTTCGATAGGAATCAAACCCACGACCACAAAAAGAGGTTGTTTCTGACCACTCGATCAGAGATTCTGACACTCGGCTACCGAAGTACTTATCTGACTTCGGCTATCCGTCTTACACATACAACCAGTTTCACAGTGAGTCCTATGCTCAGGCTTATCTACTCTTGATATACTCTTTTAGCCATATCCACACTGATCCTCCTACCTTTCCACTTTCCAATTTAAGTGATCATTTATCTTTTGTAAAGTTTTGCCTATGGGGCCAAACATAATTTTTAACCACCCCCCCCCCCCCCCCCCGTCCCCAGTCACAATGTGTCACAAATTTTTAGACCCCTCTCCCCCTAAATGTTGAACGTCATAAGTGAACAATCCTTATTGAGTTTTAGTCATTTTTGATCATTTCGATCAGTTCCTCACTCTTGGCATCAGCTTTTCCAAAGGCAAATGCGCCTTAATTTTATTTTCTCGATGTCTTTGTTACGGATTAAATTTGTTTCTAATTAAACTCGTCTGCTTTCTTCATAAATATTTAAAAAGCAGCTTAAATTCATTTTCAAAACACCAACATTTTAGTTGTTCATTAGCAAGCAGCAATGGACAATCCAGAACTTTACAGTGATAACAATAAGCATAGAAAGCCAGGAGTTGAAGAATTTATAAATTCTTATGGCGGAAAATTGAGGAATATACATGATGGAAAGGAAATTGCACTTCTTGACATTGGCAGTGGATGTGGAAGAATTTTGAGTGAAGTTTTTGTTGGTAAAAGTGGATTAAAGTTCCGAAAAGTCATAGGAATTGATAAAAGCGAAGAAATGGTGAACATTTCAAATGAAAAGTACGGAAATGACTTAATTTCATTTCAACTCATGGACGCTGAAAAGGAAATTCCTGAAAACTTAAAAAATCTCAAATTTGACTTGGTTACATCATTTTTCTCTCTGCCCTGGAATTGTGATCTTAATTCAGCATTCCAAAATGTTCAGACCTTCCTACATCCTTACGGCTTTTTGTGCTGTATTATTTTACATGTACCAAAAGCAATAATTCAGGAATTGAAGGAATCGAAAGATGATTATGTGAAGCATTTAATAGATTTTGATAATCTTCCGGATTCCCAACTTATTGATGATCCATCTAAAGTTATCGTACAGAATTTGAAGAACAATCGATTAGAATTCGCTACTATTATTGATACTGAGGATGATGAGTTTGTTTTTGATGATTTGGAAGCTGTTAAAAGTAAGTCATTAAATTATAAATTTTTTTTCATTGTTTTAATTCAAAAAAATCTTAATTTGCAGACTTTTTCGGAACCTTCTTTCCAAATCTAAGTCTTTTATCAGAAAGTGAAAAATCAAAACTATTCGAAAAGCTATTGACAATTTTTGGAATGAAAGTAAAAGACAACAAATATGCATTTGGCATCCGAACTATTACCTTTGTTGCTCGAAAGTCACCTGATTTCTTACTCTGAGACTTGTTGTTGTTGGAATTACAATAGTTTAAGTTTCTTTGTAAGGTAAAATTTCAAATTGAAATAAATTCTCTTATTTTTTGCATCCGTAATTATTAAGATTCTCAATTTTCACAAACTTCACCCCTGCCTTTATTTAAACATCCAAGTGATTATGTCAACGACAATGACGAGGAAAAAAATAAGGAAGGAAAAAGTTTATTAAATGAAAAATAATTAAATTAAATTACGCTCCAAAAAATTTTGTTTCTGTCATCCTCTTTTTTCAGCATCAGCGAAATTCTCTTCTTATAATTTTTTTTTGTAACATAAATTTCCATTTTCCATCATACTTCATCCGTACAGATGGCAATTATAAGTCAGAACAGTAGAACGAGAAGAAATATTAATCAGGCACATATAAAAGGAGGGATAGGAGTCGGTTAGTGATGACGTCTAATAATTAAAGAGTTTATGGGTGGATAGACTTAGAAGCTGGTTGTTTTATTTGTCCTAATGTACTTTTGTATTAGCTTAGTTACTAGGATTGATACTAGGTTTACTAAAAGGGTTGACACTAGGTTTGTTACTAAGGTTGAAACTAGGTTTGATACTAGGTTGGATACAAGGGTTGATATTAGGTTTGCTAATAGGGTTGATACTAAGTTTGCTACTAGGTTTACTAATAGGATTGACACTAGGTTTGTTACTAAGGTTGAAACTAGGTTTGATACTAGGTTGGATACAAGGGTTGATATTAGGTTTGCTAATAGGGTTGATACTAAGTTTGCTACTAGGTTTACTAATAGGATTGACACTAGGTTTGTTACTAAGGTTGAAACTAGGTTTGATACTAGGTTGGATACAAGGGTTGATACTAGGTTTGCTAATAGGGATGATACTAGGTTTGTTACTAGGGTTAATAACTAGCGTTGATGATTAGGGTTGATGACTACGGCTAGTGACTAGGGTTGATGGTTGAAACTAGGGTTGATACTAGGCTTGATGCTAGGTTTGTTAGTAGAGTTGATTAGTTTAATAAGTTGATAGGTTGACCACATACGGTAGGAGTTGAGCTGTAATCGAAAATATAAAATTCTTTGAGCTAGATTCAAGAGCTATCCTAATATACAATTACCTGATTTTCAATAACATGGGAGCCTCGATAGTCTTATCAAAGCAGTTCCTGATGAACATCACATACAAAACATCCCATAGAGAACAAGAAAAATGTCATCAAGAATAAAGTAATGTAATAAAGATTTTATTTTTTTTTTGTGAATGCATCTCACATTACTTTTATATTCTTCTGGGAAGTTTTACAGCATTCGCATCTTGTTAATGTCTCACAGTGCGATGAGTTTCTTGAAATAAGAATCGAGTTATAATTTTTTTTATGCTTTACGTCAAAGACAAGTTAAGCATTGCAATTTAATCCCTTAAGGTCGAGGGAAAAGCATAAAGAAATCTTCACAATGAGGGAGAATCATGAAATTCCCAAATTGGATGTATTTTGAGCAACGATACAAGCATTAAAACTTTATTTTACGTGTACAAAAATTTATGTGCATAAATTTATGGCCACAGTTGTTTCAGATTTATAATATAAGGTCTTTCGTTCTCGCTCTATGGCGATGACTTTGTTCATTAAATTTACATTTTATTTTGAATTATTTTTTAAACTTTAGTTTGAGGTAGTAATGTTTTTGGATAGCTCGATTTTAAAGAATATGGGATTGTTTGAACTCGGTTTGTTTTGAATAGCTTAAAATATTCAATGGTTTGACGGAGTTGATCGATTATAAGTCATTCTGGTTAATCTAGACCGCTTTTCTTATCGCCTATCTATTTAGGCTCAGAGGTCAGCTTCTAGGGCTATTTAGGGCTCCTTGTCGCAGTCAACTCAAGTCGTAATACTTCGGCCGTTACTCGACTGTGATTGTCAGTTCTAGTAATCCCTGAAAAGCGCTCTAACCATCGTTCTCCTCTAATAATTTCCTTACTTATGCAATAAATTCTTGCATGAGATGATGAGTTATGTGAAACTTTATGGATAAATTAAATAATTTATGGAATTAAAAATTCTCTTTCATGCAACGTAAATGAAAATTTTATCCTCTCATTTTTGTCATGCTCGTTTGTATATGAATCTATTTTAAATAAAATTAAGTAGCTTGTCACTACAATTCCTTTTATATATTTTTCTCATAAATTTATTAACAAATTTTTTTTCTTCATTTCATTGTTGTTCGTACATGTCATATACAAATCTGGAATGAAAAATCAACGTAGGGAACATGTAACTTAATGAAGCACTAAACTTGATTGTTTTCATTTCTCTCCTTCCTTTCATAATTCTCTTTATGAGATTGTCACATGTTGTTATTGAATTGCATCTAACTACTCGATGCTGTAAGCATTTCAATATCACATGCAGTGGCACTTAAAATGCTTCTCTTTTGCTTCAATTTAAATTCTTGTTTTGTGATATTTTTTTTTTATTAAATTTAATTTCTTTAATGTGATTTTTAAACGGAGGAAAAATGCAAGTTTAAAAATCTTTTGAATTGTCAAAAGCTGTTGACGCTTAATTGCGCTTCATTAATTCAGTTCGAATTAAGTTCAAATTAAGTTCGAATTGAGTTCGAAAATAGTTCGAATTGAGTTCAAAATTAGTTCGAATTGAGTTCGAATTCAGTTCGAATTCAGTTCGAATATAGTTTGAAGTAAGTTCGAATTAAGTTCAATTTTCACTACTAAGGCCAAAATGACGACAATCTAGCTCAAAATAAACATTAAAATACACAACTTAGGTTCAATTGACTACCAACATGTATAATTTTTTTCAAATTAATTTTTTCCATCCTCTCTCTGTGTGCCTCGATGTCACAAAAAAGGAAACACATCAATAGCGAGTGGAAAAAAAAAATCTCTACGGGACATCAAAAAATGTTAAAAAGATTGAGAATCTGATAATGAGAAGTTGTGACATGTGAAATGATGATGATGAAATTGAATATTTTTTTTTTTCGTTTCGTGTTGTTTGAAAAACAATCTCGATTTGTCCAAATGAGGTAGACAACGTCAATCGTATTTCAAAAAAATAAAAAATTATGTTGAACAAGTTTTGTGGTTTTTTTTTGGTCTTCGACGACATTCATATGCAATTTAATCGGCTACGGGCAGGTAAAGAAAGTCAAAATTGATTATTTCCGAACAGCATTTTTGTCATTCATGTTCAACATGACTGCTTTTTTAATTGACAGCATTGGGTCGATAATTAAAATTCATAGATAAGGAACTCGCATAGCAATTATTTTCAGAGATTTAATTATAAAAAATGAGTGACTCTAATGCTAGTTGACATGAATTTCGCTATCTTTTATCTTTAATCTCATTATTTATTTTTTCTAAGACAGCAAGTCTAATGAGATCAGTTGCTGTACAGGCTGCAAAACAAATTATTATTAAATTTAATTAAATAAAATTTTCAATGACAAGAGTTGAGCATTTAATTAATTTACAAATTAATTAGTATCGACTGGCTGTTTCAGACTTAATTTTCATTACATAATTACTGATTCATTTAAACATTACTTGAATAATTAGGTCAACGGAGATGGATGATAATTGAAATTCAATTTAATTAAGTATGTATGGTAATAATTTGTAGGAATAAATCAATTAAGGACTTGGAATTAAGACTGAGTTTTCTATAATTAAAGTTTAATGAAGAAAAGAATATTTAATAAATTGATTGAGTTCTAATAATGACATTTTCGAGGGTTTGCAGTTCATCAACTGACTTTTGATCATTTTTGGGCCCAGTAACCACCCTAGTCATCCGGGTAGAAAATGCTGAGTGCCAAGAAACAAGCTCTAGGCATTCATCAATCAAGCATTCCACTCAATAATCCCTCAATTAAATCAATATCGACAAATATTTTTGTTAAATCCACCATAAAATAAAATATTTTTTTCTGTCGTTATCAACATTTAAAGCCATGAATTTTGTGTGATGCCAAAAAAAATCCATTTTTAAAAGAAGGAAAGAACGAATAAATTTTTTTTAATATTTATCACATAACTGGCTATAAAATTTGAATTTATCACTAAATTTTAAATTTATCATAAACATAAAACCGACGCATTTAAAGCTGTTTAGTAGAAATAAAAGACTTTTTTGGAAGAGCATTTTTTGGAGCTGATTGTTGGAATGATAGGAGATTTGTCTGGACTGCCAATTAATTAATTTTGAATGTTGTGTCTTTTGAGTCTGTAAATTGTGTACCTTGTTGTACTCACAGGACTCTTTTTCACCCTTACACCTACTATCGGGCATTTTCTGTTATTTTTATCAAGGGAGAAGCAAGAACTCATGAACCCTCGTCTGGTAAGAATCGAACCCAAGCCCTCACAATAAAGAACGACCTGAAGAAATCCGAGCTTCAAAGTCTTTGCTGTCTTATTGGCAATTTAGTCTACATGTGACCCGAAACCTCAGATTTGACTAGGCTTCATCAACTTCCCATCCAAAACAATCCCACAACTTAGCCAAAACTAAAGCAAATGCGTCCCATCCACTTCCAATTCACACCAATCGATCAACGCGTCATCATTTTGTTGTGTTATTATTGCTGTAGCTTGATGCTTTTTAATCTATTTATGCAGCTGATATTTTTTATGGTAATCACTCTTAAAACAGCTCGTTTGCCATAAACAACATTTATTCAGAGAGTTCTCGTACAGCGTCGAAAATAAAAGAGAAAAGTCTATTCATCGCAAGTATCTTTATACAATAATAATAAAAATAAAAATGCCAGGAAGATAAGTATGTAGATAGTTGTGGAATGGAATAAAAAAAAGGCAGTAATCATAATTATCATTAATGGATTTTCAAATTTATTTTTTTCTGCCTTCCTTGTGTGTACAACGTCGTCGTCGTCTGTCGACGATGATGATATTAAAGAGTAGCTTGTCTATATCGATGAAAATTTATGAATGTACACAGCGAAGGTAAATAATGAACATTATTTTTTTTGTGTACACATTTTCATGAGCTATTGACTTTTCGAGTTCATGTGAGTTTGTTTGTTGTGTAAATATTTTTCGGTAACTTCACTTCAGGGGCTAAAGAACCCTAAC